GAGGGTATGCAAATCCTCCCTGCTATTCTTTGATCTTCCTTTATCATTCTTCTCTGACGCCAACGACTGTACAAGGTCTTCTTCTTCCTTCTCCATGTTCTATCGTGTGAAAGCAAGGGGATTCGTCTTGCTTTTCTCTACCTCCCTTCATCGATTGCTCACTGTCGTGGGCTTTCATAAGGTCGTCTGATCCTTGTTCTTCTGCGTTGCCGATGATGGGACCTTCAACATTGGGCTGCAATATTCATTCCTTGCTACAGAAGGTTCGATGATCTGCTTTTCTCCTTCCCCTGTTCAGCACTGAACTCCTCTCCCTCCATCATCATTATTGCCTGTGGCTCATAAAGGAGCTCATCCTCCCATCTTCATTTGTGATCATTTTATATGGTGTGTGTATATATATATTGGCTTTCCCTGCTTGCTTGTTTGGCTGAAACTGTGCTATTTGGGATCGAAATTTTTCTAAGCTTCAACTGATTTTTGATAGGGAATTGGATTAGAAAAGCATGACGGATTTAATGATAGATGTATGGAATTTGTTGGGTAGGAGAGTGAAGCTGAACAATTTGTATTGAATGGCTTATAAGTTGTACACATAACGTGTTGATTTAAGGATTGAGAGAGAATCATGACCCAATGGAATAATTGACTACGGCTAAAGTATTATGAAGAAATTGTGATATAACTGATAATATTTGGGTAATGAATCATTAACTAAATCTTTGTAAAATTATGATAGGGGGTTATCTTCCACACCCACTTTATTAACCTACTAGAGCTTCATAGAAATTCTTAGGGCATACGTAATTAGTGCGTGCTTGCATGTGTGTGCATTTGTGTGTCTCTACGTATATCTATGATTATGAATGTGTTGATTGACTTTTAGTACATACACAAGAGCTGTCCAATGACCATGCTTTTGTAATGTAGACTATAGAATATTATTCATGACACTTAGAATAGTCCATGCAATGACTAAATTTGTGCATAGAAGACATTACATTTTTTTGTATAGGAAATTGAGATCAAGGATTTTGTTTACATATAAGTGTTGAAAAAGTAATACGGGGTTAATGAATGCTGTTTTATTTAATTATTTATTTTGGATCTACAACTTATTGTATTTATTTAAACCTCTAGATATGTAAAATAAAATGCTATGGTTTCAAGTTACAAAGTTGTGGGAAGAGTGCAAGTGTAAACAATGGTATTGTTTAGTTAAAATATGTTAGTGGATTATTATGACTCATGCACTAGAAAGGAATGCGGAGAATATGAATTTCTTTGGAATGGAAATTAGAAGATTGAGGTCCAAGAGCAATGTGAGAATATATTATAATGATTAAGTGAATGAAAAATTATGAGTTTTTATAAAATTTTAGAGGTTCAGTTATTATTATATAGGATGTTTCAGGAATAAATCTTGTTGTGAGGAATGATAAGGGGTAAATTATGGTGTTGGGATTGTCTCAGGTAAGTGAATAACATCCTAATAAATTTATTAACAAAATTCTTTTTACTGAAATATTATTTTTCTTTTCTTTAAATAGATTTCGTGTACTACTACTTCTAGTGTTTAATACTTGGTTAGTTTTATTGCTTTAACTCTTGAAGGATGATGAAAAAGTTTTGGTAGCTCTAATAGTATTCCTTGATTTGGTGAAGGCAAATGTAAAATTAGTGAACAATTTTATACTAAGGAGAGTTGAAGTTTTGAAATGTTCATGCAAGTTTGATATTGAAACTACAAAACTTTATTTTGAAAATGATTGATTTCTTGCATGTTTGAAAAATTAATTTTTAGAGGACCGTACACAGAGCACTGGTTGTTAATGGCAGTTCTGTTAGATCTTGGCGAGCCATGGTCAATGACTAGCTAGTTTGATTTTTGTGACCTTTATTCTCACATTTGTATTCATGGGTGTAACACCTGCATTTGTTTTCATGGCTTCAAATCACATTTGATTATTCACTCTCATAGACTGTGTGTCTATATTTGTTTTGTGGTATAAGCTGTGTTTGGTTATTTACCCTCATGGACTGTGTGTCCACATTTATTTCATAGCGTAAGCTGCGTTTGGTTATTTACCCTCATGGACTGTGTGTCCACATTTATTTCGTGGCGTAAGCTGCGTTTGGTTATTTACCCTCATAGACTATGTGTCCACATTTGTTTCATGGCGTAAGCTGCGTTTGGTTATTTACTCTCGTGGACCGTATGTTTATGTTTGTTATCTGTTCTACAAAGTCCTCAAATTTAATTGATTTGTGAATATATATATACACTTTGATGATTTTAAATAGTGGTTGTCACTATTTTTATTTACTTCAATTATTTATTTTACAAGATCAAGTTTCAAGGTTTTGTCATTATAAATTTATTGGTTTAGCATTTTTAAAGCAATAAAGCAACATATAATTTCTTAATTTTCAAGTTTACTTATTATTTTGATGTTCTCTTTTAATAGTGCACTGATTTACTTGATGACTTTATTATTTTTGAACCTTTTAATTTCATTATTAGGATGTTATTCACTAAAAAAAGTTTTTGGCCCAAGATGTTGTAGACAGCTGTAGACCTCTAGAGGATTATTGAAGGGTATATTTTCAAATTGAGGTTAAAGCATTAATTTGATGAAATTTCTATTTGTAGTAAAAATTTAAATTTATATATTATACTATGTGATTTGAAAATTTTGTTTTAAATGCTCCACATAGACTATACTTAAAATCCTCGTACTGATGAATTATTCATTTGTCTATTGATAAGAGTAAAACTCATTATTAATGTATATACTGAAATTGTTGTAGAAAATTTTTAAGGACTCTATTAAATTTCCAAGGAAAATTTATGACTTTTGTTATAAATAAAATAAAGAGCCCTACCCAATAAATAGTATGAATGTGTTATAATTAAAATATAGTAGCTTGTATTAAGGCTAAAGGATGTGTGTTCCTATGCATATTTTGAGCCGATCACTTTGGGGCATGACATCAACTTACTTGCAAAAATTGAGGAAAATGAAATTGTGATTAAAAGTGAAATTATGATAGAGGATTAGTTCAAAGGAGCTGTGATTAGCTTGCTTGGGCTTTTTGATTCAGAAATCCAAACCTAGTATACTTTCCAAATTGCTGGAGAGTACAATCAAGATACTAAATAAGAGATGTTTTGGTGAATTAATCACAAATTACATTGAATGAATTCAAATTTAAGTAGTAGGATTAAAGAGGAACTAAGAAATTTGGCCCAAAGTTTCTCAAAATTGCAATTCATTCCTAAAATTATGAAAAATTGCAAAAATTGCCCAAATAATCCCAAAGGCTCAAATATGTTCTAAATGACCTCAAAAAGGTGTTAAAAGCAAGAAAAGGGGAAAACGATGTAAATATTATGATTTGATCATTGGGCTATGCGAAATTTTATATTGGCTCACTAAACACTACAAAAAATAGATTTTAACAGTGACATTAGAAGTTGTCACTAAAAGTACAACCTTTGATGGCCACATTGCCACTGAAACTTACTTTATAGTAGTGATTGTTGTCATCAAAGGTTGAGTTTTAGTGGTAACTTGAAGTTGTCATCACCACAACTTTATTCTAGCGACAACAATTTTTTGCCATCAAAAAGAAATGACAACAATTAGGTAGTATATGATTTTTGGTGGCAAAGAGGTTGTCACCAAATGCATACAATCGTTGCCAAAAGTTTTACTTTTTTAATTTTTTTTATTTTTTAGGTTAAATGAATAATTTTTTAAACTAATTTTCTTTGTATTTATGAGCATTTATTTAGCACGATAAAACAAATATATATATATATATATGGATCTTTATTATCAATACAATTTCATTTGTTTATCTCTTGGGAATACTTTTACAGATTTTTTTTAATTTACTATTATTGCATGTGAAGAATAGGGATTGTAATTATTTGCATACATAACATAAATATATCTTTTGCATGCAAAATGTAAATTTCTCTTTTTCTTTCTCTTACCCTCTATTTTGATGGGAAAAAAGTTAAGAGGAAAGAAAATTGAGAGAAAAGAAAACTGAGAAGAAAATATTATCCTTCTTCTTGTTTGAATGAGTAGGAGAAAATAGAGAAGAAAAAAATAAGTAAATAGTATAATGACTATATGTAATGTCCACCTTGACATTATCAAAATTTACCACACAATCACAACAAACAATCATAATTATGAGCAAAGATTGCTCCTAAGCTCACATTATTTATATAAGGGTTAAAACTAATAATCTTTCAAAAATAATTGTGGAATATTTGGGATCCCATAAAAACCCTTTAAATTGATAGTTTGAGCTCAAACTTAATGATTTATATAGGTATTAGAAGTATGGAAAAGTTTTGGAAAGTAAAACACTTCAAAACAGGGCCAAAAAAGTCATTTTTGAGTGTTTTGGTCTATGTGCCACAGCTCGTGGTCCATGAGCCACGGCATGTGGCATAGAAAGCCAAGTTTTCTAGCTGTACCATGCACCGTGACTTGCGCGAAATGCATCGTGGCGCACGTGTCCATGATAGCCATGCTGTCATGACAACTTTTCTGGACGAACTTCGAACACGCGTCATTTTTGCATCTGATGTCTAATTAGAGTGATTCAAGCACCCACGCGAACCTTATTCAACAAGCTAACTAATGGTAGAAGTTTTGTTATGATCTGATACCATATGAGAATTTTAGACGCTCAGATGTAAAAGTGAGTTTTTAAAGAGATTTTCAAGCATCCAAGTACCCAAAACTCATAACTTATACCATTAACCCATTGTAAAGCTTGAACCAAGTCCAATGGACCAAAATACACTTAAGTGAACATTCAAACACACAAAAACATACCAAACATAAAATTTGGCCACTCAATGGCCATTTTGCCCAATATGGCTAAAACACACAATCAATACTACATGCAATATTTGGCTTCTATTGCCACATAATACATTACATATACATTGTCACCATATAGATAAAATATTTCTTGCACTTGTATTAGTATTTTAGCCCATCACCATAAAAATTGCCACATATTCACATCATATATAATATTGGGCTAAAATACAAAACAACATAGTATGGAACAAGTACAACCAAATCAAAATGATATGCATTTCTAGTTGGCAACATACAATATCATATAACAAGTTTATGTACACCACTCAAACTAAAATCGGGCATTACTATTCGATGTAACAAATCTACTAATCCTTGCCCGATTCCTTCCCTCGCTCAGTCTTAGTAGTAGAACCTGTAAAATGATAACCACGGGGTGAGATAAAAATCTCAGTAACTAAGATAATCTAATTTATTGATTAACATGCCAAGTTATAGACAAGCCTTAAATCATGTAAAATAAGCATAACATATAAAATTACCACAAGTAACATGCATGATCCCTAACCATCTGGTCCTCCAATACTCCCAACCAAACCAGTAGGCTATTTCACAGAACTAAATACATGTGTGGTACCCAAGCTCACCATTCATGGCAGGGCTACCTGACCAAGGTGTCCTAAACTACTTTTAGACTACTGGTTCCCCCTATTACAAGTAATTGAGATGTTGTTACTCTAACACTGCATCTTATAGATGCTAAGAAGCATATTCTCCAACTCCAAACCCTTTTAGGTACTAAGTAGAGTAAGTCTCCAACACTGCACCTATTTTTGGGCACTAAGGAAAGTAAATGCTGTACCTAACATCCCAAGGTGCCAACAGTGCCATATGAACTTAATCTTCACTAACTCTACTAGGTGACCTCCCACCCTCTAATATGCGATACTTCACTACATATCTCTACTTGACCATGAATAAATAACTTTCCAAACAAATATAACAAATCTTACCATTTACTTCAAAAATATAGAATTTCACAAACCAATACTTCACTCATTTTCTAAAATAGTTAACCTTTAAAGAATTTATACATATATACTCAACAAATCATAGAAAAGTAATTTGAGAATAACTTATACAAGGTAATAAATAATGCAAATTATCTAGTTACCTCAACCCTTTTGTTACTAAAAGGGTTACCCATGGTACTAAATTTCTTCTTGTGTCAAGGTAAGTCTTTCCACACCACAATCTACAACAACGAGTACTATATGTTAATTTTTAATTAATACAAGCACTATTAGCTACCAATAACCTCTCAATTCTCCCACTTCTCACTTATATTCTCAACAAAGAGGCTTGTTAAGATTAAAATTTGTTCATACAATTCCTTCAGTTCTCCTTCTAACTCTATCACAATATAAAACTCAATATTTCAACTTATCACACTTCAAAATCCCATGATCAAATTAGGGCTTGATCCAACTTTAACCAAACAATAGAGTAGCTTCATATTACCATATATCCAAGATTAATAAACCTAAATCAAACCTTTAGATTCAACAAAAACCTTCAAAACATAGATTCATGGCTTAATCCAATCAGACTAAATTCTCATTCTTCCAAATCCCATAGAAAATGAGATGAAAAGGTAGAAAAGAAGGGTAGGAAACTTACTTAAGAGTTTGAAGGCTCAATTTATTTTTAAAATCCTCCCAAATTAATGCCCTAGTAGTGCCCAAAGTTGTCCCCTTCGTGTTCTAGGTTTTCCACCTCAAAAACTATCAATTTCTGATGATTTACAAAATTTTAAGTTACCTGTTATGCCATGCGCTGCAGCGCAAGTCACACAAGCTACGGCTCACAATGCAGTAAGCAACAAGTAGATTTTGTTCCCCTCGATGCCTCTCGACTTGATTTGACTTTCATCCTAACTCAATTTAGAGCCAAATATGACCTAAAAATCCAATTAGCCACCAAAAAATATAATTAAATAAATTAATCATATTTTTAACTAATTTATCCCTTAATTAATTAATTTTTCCAAATTTAAAGTTTTTGGATGTTACATTATAATACTCTTACATCAAAATATGCCATGTTTCATATAATTATTTTCATAAAAACAAATTAAAAGGAAAAATTATATTAAAATTAACTTAATCAAAAAAATTAAAATCAATTTGTTTATTAAAAAATATATTATTGTATTATTATATTTTAAAACCAAATAATTTAGTAAAAATATATTAAAAGGTGATACTTTATTAAAATTAAATATAAATCATCTATACAATATAGTGGAACATTGTAGCTTTTGGCGAAGAAGAAACAGAAGGGTACGGGGGAGGGGGGAGAGAGAGAGGTTTTGCATCAAAGAGAGATTTACAAAGTGTAAAGATAGGGAAAAAAACAATAGAAGAGATAAGGGCACACATGGAATAACAAATTTATTCCCAAAATCTCTCCATATATAAAGAGAAAACTTGGGGAGAAAATGTGGTGGGTTCTACTTTCTATTTTCTTCCCTATTTTCCCTTCCTCATCCAAACAAGAAAAAAAATTGTTTTTTCCCCAATTTTGCCCTCATATTTTCTTTCCTATCACATGTTCTCTCCAAATAAACAAAGCATTAGAACTGACCTTGCAAGTTGCAATTGTCTCTCTCACCACTAGAAAATTTTTCTCTAGCAAATCTACCTCATAATTGATATCTTAAGACTTTAGTAGACTAATATCTGCACAAACTTTTCATTGCTTGCTCCTCCTCTTGATCCATTTCAATGCTTGCAATACTAGTAGAACATAAGTCAAATCAAATCATGTTAGTTGAAATGTAAAATAAGTTATGTTGAACTATTCATAAGTTAAATGAAACTAACACTCATATTATACGTTAGGGTTAGCACAATTAATGCCACTTAGTCAAACAAATGAAAAAAAAAAAACTCAATCTAGGCTTTTAAATTGCGTATGACCATCTCTCTTTTGTGTCCAACTATTTGTGTTCAATAAGTATAATAATATTTTCAAAATGTCAATATGTCATATAAAACTACACACACACATATTGAAATAAAGTATAAATTAGTGTAAGTATATAAAATAAAAATATTATATTTTTGATGGAATATTATATTTCTTTTAAATTAAAAATACATACAAATTAAATATTTACATAAAAAAATAACAATACCAAATAAAATTTTCACCCAATGTAGCTATATGACCCTTTAGAAGTCAGTAGTGGAATCAGCATCAGCTAACAAATTTAAGACTAAAATAAATTTTTCAGTGAATAGCATTTTCAAAGTAGAATTTTAAAAAGAAATTTAAATTAAGAAACTCAAATAATGGTATAAACTAATTAAAAAGATAATAATTCAACATAATAAATTTATAGGTTTGTAGATCATAACCATAATTGTAAAATGAGAGTGAACTAGAAGGAAATTATTGTATCATACTTAAAGAAAACAGTTGATTCACACATAAATCAAAGTGATATATTTATTAACCAAAACCCTTGAAATTTCAAAAACACATATTAGCAAAAATCTAGAATCTTGAGAACTCAATAGAACAGGTAACAAATATAGACACACAGTCCACAAAGATAAATAACTAAATACGGCTTATGTTATGAAGACAAATGTGAACACACAGTCCACAAGAGTAAGTAACCAAATATGGCTCATGGCCACAAAAAAATGTGAACACACAGTCCACGAGGGTAAGTAACTAAACGTGAGTAAAAAGTCTACAAATATCAAATGTAAGAACAAAGCTCACAAGACAAACTAGCTAGTTTTTAATCACAATGCGCTACAGGCTTATGGAACTGCCATTAGTAGCAGTGTTCTGTTTAGAGTTCTCTTAAAAATCACACTTCAAACATGTGAGAAAAATATTTACTTCTAAAATACAATTTACATTTTAAAATACCCAACTCGCATGAATCGTTTCAAATTTCAATTTGGTGCTTGTCAAAAATAATATTTCATAAATAATGTACAAGCTTGCATTACTTGAATAACCAAGAATTTCTAAAATTTAATAAACAAAATAATTTCATAAATCTTTGAAATATATTTTCTTGAGGAAATAAATGCACATATCATGATATAATTATCCATCATCAATATTCCATAATGTCCAAAACTAATGTAATTTCATAAGAGAAAAATATTTCAATAAAAGTCTACTAAAAATAAAAATAAATTAAAGGGGATGCTATTTACTTACAAGTCAGAGTTTCAAATTCCTAAAGATATTTTTCCTTTAATTCTTGTTGAGGTCCTATTTTTCCACACACCCTATAAGGATATAAGTAAATGCAATTTTGATAAATTTTGAATTTATTGCACAATCTTGACCAACCATCTCATTTAGAATTTCAAAACTAAAATTCAGGCTTTAGAGTTGGTCTAAGTAATTATAATTCATATTACTAGTTCCTCCAATTTGTTTTAATCATACTAATCCATTTTCTGGGAACAAAATTTTCTTTCAATTCCTACACCACATACCTTAGGTGCATTACTTCTTCCTTTTCAATTTAAAACATTCAACAATTTACCAATAACCAAACAAGTTCCAAGTACTCCAATAGCTACATGCAATCTCATAACCAAATTCCTTTACAAACCTATAGGTTAATTCTTGAATTAATAATTTCTATAAATATTTAAAATTCAAGTTCAATTTTCTCTTACAAGGCTTTCAACAAACAACTCATAGGCACCAATATTCAAGTTGTATATCTAAGCTATTCTCTACCAATTTCACCCCAATAAATTCTTTACATCAACCATTTCGAACAAAATTAATTTAACTCCAAAATTATAGCCTAGATGTATATCACTACCAAGCCTTAAGTCAAATTAGCTCAAATTTGAATCTTCTTACAACGTATGGACAGCAACAAAATTCTATCAAAGAACTCTATAAGTTTAGCCATCAACTCATACTGTCTCTCACACAGTCAACAAAGGACGAAAGCTCAAAATCCTCAACTTAATCAGCAATAACAATGAAAGAGGGAGAGATCAAGAGACTTCCAACCGAGTAGGGAGAGAAGATGAGATCTCCAGCTGAGCAAGGAAAAAAAAAAAAAGGAAAGACATAGCACTACTCGAAAGAAAGGAAAAAGAATAGAATCAGCGTCAGTTTTAGCTCATGACCAGCACTACCAATTTTGATGACCTGAATTCTTCCACTTATTAGCAACACGTGAACGTAGTTTACGAGAATAGAGCAACAACTGGAATTGAGTAGAGAGAAGAAGCATCATAACCAAGAACATAACAGAAAAAAACTCAACAGTAACACAAGCAAAATGATCCCATAATCTATACCTCAACCCAGCGAAACATTGAGCTTGAACAAGGGAGAAGGAAGAGATTTTGGTCAACTTTCAGCAGTAAAAAATGAGCTCCAACTCCAACCAGCTGTGACAGATTGACGGTAAAACCTCACGTCGGCTATGGTTGAAAATGGAAAGAAAGGGATTGGAGACACAAAGGAAGAGTGAAGGAATGAAGCATGAGGCAGAGCACTTCTCTCTCTCTTGATAGATCTGGAACCATCGAAGAAGAGGATGAAAAGCTTTATTAGATCAAAGAGGGGCAATTTGGTAATTTTAGAAAGCAAAAACAAAATAAAATCCCCCTTTTGGTCTCAACCAGATTTGAATTTAAGACCTAATGGTTGAGTTGCTTGCACTCTTCTACTACACCAACACTCCTTCTGTCATAATTATCCCAAAATTATATAACTATAATTAATACACACAATTATATAATTGATTTAATTTTTTAATTTTTTAATTTTTTAATTTATTTATTTATTTTAATTTTCATAGAAGTTTATGGGTTATTACATTGTAGGTGCCACATATTTTTGTTTTAGGAAAAATATCAGCTAGAGGATGAAACAAAGAAAAAGCAATTTGAATCCAAAATATTTGAGATAATGAAAAAATAAGATAGGGATTGAAAAAGCAAATTGCATAGATATTATTATCAAAGTATGCTACTGACAAAGAAAGGCTGAATAGGCTACCTCTTATTTCTCCTAGCAAGTAGGCTTGGCTTGAACAACATTTTGGTTCTAATGAAAAAAAAAAAGCTAGGGATTGCAAAAAGCAAATTGCATAGATATTATTATCAAAAGTATGTTACTAACAAGGAGAGGTTAGATAAGCTATTTTTTTCTATTTCTTCTAGTGAGTAGGCTTGGCTTGTATAACATTTTGGTTTTAATGAGTTCAAGGTATACTACTATTAAAGTTATATTTTTCATAATTAAAATATAATATTAATCTCTTTCCAATTTTATTATAGAAAATAATTGTGAGGAATAAAACAAATAGAGAAAAGCACGTAACAAAACATATATGTGGACCTCGATCATTTATAGAAGTTGAAGGCATAATGATGAGTTCTTAACTTTAATATCTTTATATTTCTCTATTATTTGCTTTCCATTTATGTTGTTGTCTATTTTCTCGTACAAAGATCTTGTCACAGGAGATTTGCCACCAAAAACTTCTTCTTCTTTTTTTTTTTTTGTAGTGAAACTCGTGTCAATAGGAGGACACCTTCCTGAGTATCTAACACATATAATTCAATTTAAGAAATTATCGAAGTTGTAACCATATTAAATAATAGCAAGGCAAATTAAGTTTCCGTGCCATATGTACAAGCATTTTTTTTATTTAATTTTGGGGGACATATAACGTAGTTTAGAGTTGAACGACACATTGGCAAATTAAGTTTGCAAGGCATATGTAAAATAATTTTATATTATATACGTAGTTTTGGGGATAAAAAATAGGTCATAGTTAAACACGCTGGATTCTTATTTATAAGCCATGGTCTAGGCAATAGAAGAAAAAAGAAATAGTAATTAAAGTGAAAAAGCATAAGATGAAAGGTAATATAGTTTTGAAGAAGGCACTAGAAAGAGAGAAAAAGAGAGGACAAAAGTAAGTGGTAATTGAGAAAAGAAGAACATTCTTCTTATTTAGGTTAATAAAAAGAATATTGAAATTAATTGGAATTAATCTAAGGACAAAGTGAGATGGTAATTGGGAAGAAGAATATGGAATTAATTGAAATACGGAAAAGGTGAAAAGGAGAATATTCTTCTTATTTAGGTTAATAAGAAGAATAATGGAATTAATTGGAATTAATTAGAGGACAAAAGGAGGTGGTAATTGAAAAGAAAAATATAAAAATAATTAGAATACGGAAAAGGAGAAAAGAAGAATATTTTTTTTATTTAGGTTAGTAAGATGAATATTAAAATTAATTAGAGTTAATTAGAAGGAAAAAAGGAGGAGAGGACAAAAGAGACTGAAGGAACATAATTAATTGGGAAGGAAGGACTGAATTAATTGGCATACCACTATTATATTAAAAAATAAAACTAAAGGAACTGAATTAATTGAGATAGTGAGAGAAAATATTTGGACAAGGGCAAACACAGTCAACGTTGTTAGGTTGTATTCCCTCTTTTATTCATCCATCTTAATCTTAATTCCCCCTTCTTTCTCTGTTTCTTTCTTTTTTAGAAAAGATTCTTTGTTTTTTTCTTAATAAAAAATGAAGATGTTGATGTAAGTTGTATCTCATGTTCAAATAACACTTTCAAAAATATTTACACATTATCTATCAATAAGAGCCTTACATGAGTAATAAAATTTGAACTCACAATCTTATACATTATGAGCTAAATTTTTACAACCTTGATCAATT